GCTACCAGCACTTTAACACGGTTGGCATCCAGATTATTAGATCTCTATGACCTGACTTGTGACTTGCTTGACCTAAGCTATGATCTGACTTGACTCGACTCGACTCTCACAAAAATGACTTGGGACTTGAAGGTTAAGACTTGAAACTTTCATGTGTGACTTACTCCCACCTCTGTCACAGTGATATGTGTTGGTCACTGAGATGCAGGGAGAATGGCAGTAGATTGGTGGATGACGGGTCATTGTCCTGTTTTAACTAATTGAAATATGAAATAAAGTGAACTGGAGTGCGTCCACAGCAGGTTGTTCAGGGTTAACAGTGTGTGTAATAAATCAGTGTTGTGTTGTTGGTGTCTCAGTTTGTCGGCAGGTTTGTTGCGTCAGGCGACGTACACGACGACTCGTCTGGGAATCTACACCATCCTGTTTGAGAAGATGACCGGAGCTGACGGACGGCCTCCAAACTTCCTCCTCAAGGTACTTTACACAGGCTTTTACAGTTTTTACTGGCACACACTGCTTTCACTTCACATCTACGGGCTCTTCGACGTCTTTCAGTAAACACAGGGGAGCTGTTGAACTGTAATCCCTGAAAGCAGCTCAGCTCTCATTTATGGTACAAGGTGACTTCATGTAGTTAGTTCACGTATAAGAGCAGAATGCAGTTGGACTGGTCTCTGAGTCGGTCGATGTGATGGAAGTGGAAGCAGAAACAATCAGAGTCCTACTGTTGGTCAAAGTAACGCTGTGTGCTCCCCCTGCAGGCTCTGATCGGTATGACAGCTGGAGCTACAGGAGCGTTTGTGGGAACACCGGCAGAGGTCGCACTGATCAGGATGACAGCGGACGGACGGTGAGACAGACAGACTGACAGACAGATGGGAGTTATGTAATGTATAAAGTAAAGATCTGCTGGACTGAACCTGGTCTCCTGTCCCTGCAGCCTCCCTGCAGACCAGAGGAGAGGTTACTCTAATGTTTTTAACGCTCTGGCTCGAATCACCAGAGAAGAAGGGATCACCACACTGTGGAGGGTGAGCAGCCGTTTTATACTCACACATTCTCGGACTGTGGATTCGGGCTCTGGATGTTTCCTCTAATATCAGTTTATAGTCTGAACACTGACTGATGATCATTCAATGTGCTGTAGGGGTGTATTCCCACCATGGCTCGAGCGGTGGTGGTGAACGCAGCTCAGCTGGCCTCCTACTCTCAGTCCAAACAGGCCCTGCTAGACTCAGGTACACACTGAACCGCCGAAACACACACACACACACACACACACACACACACAAATACACACAAACTCACAAACAGTGTGTGTGTGTGTGTGTAACACCTGTGTTTGTTTTCAGGGTATTTTGGGGACGACATTCTGTGTCATTTCTGTGCCAGTATGATCAGCGGTCTGGTTACCACGGCAGCGTCGATGCCCGTTGACATCGTAAAGACCAGGTGAGACTCTGCACTTACGCTGGATCCTGATTGGTTCATTCCTCCGCAGAGGTTAAAGGTCAGATAAAGAGCTGCGGGGAAGCGTGTGGTGACTTTGTGCTTCCTGTTTGTGTGTCAGGATTCAGAACATGAGGATGATCGACGGGAAGCCCGAGTATAAGAACGGACTGGTGAGTGGCTTCGTTCAGACACACACAACTTTATTTAAACGTATTCAGAGTGACGCACAGCGAGGGCACCTGAGGGTTAAATCAGCGTTGACCTTTGACCTTGTGTGTTATTGATCACTGATGGTGTGGAAATATTAGTATATTATAGTATATTTCTATCACTATGATGGTATTACTCTCATATAACTGCTCTCTGTTAGCTGACCCCACTTTACAGTAATATTTCAGATTCTTCTAGATTATATTAGTTAGTTTGGGTCAAATATTAAAATGTAATGCATTTTAATATAATAATAATATATTAATAGTAATAATTTAATTTAAATTACTATTTAACTTTTTATTAAATATTAGTATTTTAAATTCGGTTTGTGCTGCCACTAAAATAACTCCATCCAACTCTTTTACCTTTGTTTCTGATGAAATTAAGCTTTGTAAAACTTTATTTTATACGGAAGCATATTGCATTCACATCAAAATTTATTTTATGGTTGTATTTTTCTGATTTTCTAAATATTTTTTTTTCTTCTGTTTTTGGGACTAATTCTTTTTCTGAGTTTAGAGAGCATTTGAAACAATAGACGCGGGAGTTCGAAGTATCTTGATAATTCAGAAAAAAGATTACTCCGAAAAACAGAAAACAAATTACTCAGAAAAACAGGGGGAAAAA